GGGATAAAGAGAATATAAGGAAGCCTATATTACTGAAAAAGAGAAACTACTCTTAAAAATACTCTATATGAATAAAAGAAAGCTCAATTTTTAAAAAAAGCCTTAACCAGCTTTAAATTAAAAGAGCTACAGGTGGAATCATAGAATGAAAACAAAGAAGCACCCTTATAATGAAATCAATAGATTTATTTCTAAATATTCTGACACAAGGGTCTAGTTTTATTTTCAACATTTATTGGGAAGCTCAGCTTTGAAAGTGCTCATGAGATAGAAAACCTTTTCAAATACGTTTTTGATTTTTTTTTGGCCAAAAACTTTAAATCTCGATGTTTTCTTGTTCCTAGATTTTGAACTCTGCTGATCATTCTTAAATACATGAAAAATATGTGTGTTCTGTTCAACCTCTTGGATAAATGACAAACTGATTACAATAGGTTAAGCAGGTCTATGATTAAATGCTTAAAACAAACAAAATCCTCTCTATACATGAAGCAGTATTAGATCAACAATCTGATCACTGATCACTATCTCAAATTCCAGAATTGTAGCATTTTGCCAAAGTACCTGATTTTCTTATCATGTGGTTCTTATATATGTGGCCTTTTCAGTCCTTTCACTTGACCCGACTCACTTTTTTTTTTTTTTTTAATACAATTGAATGGGATAATTCACCAGTTGTATGGAAACAGATTTAGATGCAGTTGAGGCATATCACCAATGAAGGTCTACGTGTTCTCATGTCTTTAGTTTTGTTTTGTTTTTGTTTTTGGTGCAGCTCTGATTTCCACCACCTTTTACCGCGCATTAGTATAGAGGGGATCAGCCTGATCACAGACCTTTTCCACATCTGTCCCTCATGTAGGAATACTCTTCCTTGGTTATAGGGAGTTCTTCCAAAGAAAAATGGTGACCAGCAAGCTGCTGAGCACTTAGCTCAACCAACAACTTCAGGATTGTGATGAGAATGTAGTGTAACATTTGTACATGGATCAGATGACATAAACAGCTGAAGTGAGTTACTGTTTTTTATTTAAGGTAATGACATTCTATCAATTTTTATTGTTGTATGATGTACAAGATTGATGTGTACAGGAATTCTCTAACTGGTCATGTAACCATCCTTAGCAATGACTATACCATGAACTGCATGAGCCTCACGTTTCTCTCATACAGTATTAACAAATTCAGGTTCTTTGCTGTGCTCTTTACATTCATAAAAGGACTATAAAATGCTCCTTGTAGTCCTAAAATTTTGGAACCTACAAGTGGACTCCAGCTTACAATGCACACTGCTGAAGTCCAGCCAGGAAAGGCTTTCTCCTTCACATCAGCATTGCTGCCAAATTGCATGAACTTTAGAACAAGTGAAAGGTACCCAGGGTTGTTTGTTTTCTGTTTGTAGGCACATGTTTGCAGCATGCAGGAAAAGATTCCCTCCACTGCCTCTCCACACAAACCTGGTGCAGTGCTGACTTGTGATATGTACTTTACTAGGTCACAGTAATTTTTTTTATCACACACTGGTAACTTTTAGTCCAGAACAAAGAACTTAAACTAAGGGGTAATTAAACAGAATTTGGATGGTCCATAAAAAATAATTTACTGCAGCAGCTTATGCTACTGCCTGCTCAGCTCTATTTTTAGGCGTTGAGATCTTTCTAGGCATATGGATTAAGTTACAGGATCCTGAATGGAAGAAATTTTAAGGGACTGTGTTTGAGATATCACATTGAGAACAATTATTCTAAATGAGTTGATAGGCTCAAATCCTATGTCAGTGGAAAAAACCCCAATATTTAGCAATTGACATTGAACAAATATTTACAATTTCAGTTTGAAACACAGGGTGGAAGGAAGAATTCCATTTATTTCTTCCATGTGTGAAATGAACAAAGATCTTAAGAAGCTGAAGAGCTTTTAAGATGTGAAGGAAAAGTGGAACTATAATACCTAAAAGCCAGATGTTATGCCTGTGTGTTTCTAGTGCAAGAATTTAATTTATTAGTATCTAGTAATTAAATAGTTCAGCACAGTAAAGGGGAATAAGTTCATTGGAGAAATACAGCCTAAATAAAATGGTGTAGGCTACTGGAATCAGCTGTTGAAATACTGCCAAATGGTGAATATTAAAATGAAAGCTGAAATATTACAGGGAATGAAATATCACATCACCTTTATAATAAAGTAGTTTTTAAAAAGATAAAAAGTTTTAGAAAGCTAAGAAGTGTGGTACCTGGCAATTTCTGTTACTGTGATGTGTGTGCAAGAATTGTGAAAGGATTCCACGAGGGCAATAATGCTGTCTAAGACTAAACACTGGAAGTACTTTTTCCTTCACTTAGAGCAGCATCCATATGAGTACACAGCAAGTTATATCACCTTTTGGGATGTTCACATGGTGGCTTTGGCTGGGACAGAGTAAATTTTCTTCATAGTAGCTAGTAGGAGGCTGTGTTTCACGCTTGTGCTAGAAACACAGTGTGTGAAGACATCTGTATTTAATTTGTGTGTAGTTAATGCTGAGCAGTGCTTACAAGGAGTCGAAGCCTTTTCTGTGTGTTGCTTGTGGCTGCTTGGTTTCCTGCCTCTCACCATTAGCAGGCTGGGTCCACAGGGACCTGGGATGGGACACAGCTTGGACAAATGACCCCAGCTGACCATAGGGATATTCCCTATTGTGTGGTGTCATGCTCAGCAATTCTGGTGCAATTCCAAATCTAGTGGAAGAAGTAACAAGGGGGCATGTTTGGAGTTATGGTGTTTGTCTTACCCAGTCACCATTTCATTTGATCAGGCCCTGCTCTCCGGGAGATGGCTTAACACCTGCTTGCACATGGAAAACAGTGAATTAATTCCTTGTTTTGCTTTGCTTGTATGTGGCTTTTGCTTTCCCTATTAAATGGTCTTTATCTCAGTCCACAATTTTTCTGGCTTTTTATCTTCCAGTTCTCTCCCTGATCTTACTGGTGGGGTAGGGAGTGAGTGGCTGCATGGAGCTTGGAGGCTGCCTGGGATTAAACCATGAGAATGCTATAAAGCTTAAGGCACATTCTATATATTTATATGGCTTAAGGCATATAAATATATAAAAGATATTTATTTTATATTATTTTATGTACTTGATGTATGGCATGGCACGCATCCATTGCTCTTGGAGATTAAGATTACATGTAGCAATCATGCACTTTCTTCACCACTGCAGCCCGCCTGTAATTCTACCTACGCCAAACTGATGCACCTTTCTGTAAATTCTGACATGTATAAGACATCTTTCTCTTTTGCCTTATGTTCATCACCTGCATCTTAGAATTACAGGTTACTAAGTAATTTGTTGAGTTGAACCAACTAAAATGATTTCTTTTTTTAAATAACAAATCATAACTGGAATAATATCCTACAGCTTTTACATAGAAGAAAAATCTGCACTTATTCTTAGGTTTATGAGAGTATATTTAGAAAAGACTGGGAAAACCAATACCAGTACTTGTGAATACATGCCCATTTCTGATTAAAGTTGAAGAAAAATTTCAGGACAATTGTACAAGATGAACTTAGCATCACCATAATGCAAAACTTGTTCTTTTCTCTGCTTAGTTGCTTCTGAGAGTGGAATGCTTGTGTCCATCAGGATCCTGCAAAATGAAGTGGAATTGAGTATATGCTCACTCCTCTTTGATTAAGGCATCTTTTCCAGCACAGACTGCCTATGGAGGATTTTTGGCAAAAGTAATTCAAGATCTACTGAGACTAGGAAATGAAGCTTCAACAAATCAGCAACGACTTCTGAAAGTTTCTTGAAAGTTTCTTTCTATATTGCTGCTAATTCTGTTTCCTACAAGGACTTCTAGAATGTTCTGGAATGTGCCAACTTTACCTAAAAAATTATTTGACCAAGCAATACTCCAAGATCGGTCAGAACCTCCAACATTTATCCTTGGCATCCTCTCTCCTCCATATTTATAGTGGCTGTAAAACAAGTTGTTAATAAACTTTTAAAGTTGTTTTTATGTATTCAAATATAAGAAAGATAATACTTAAAGCCTTAAACCTTTAGTGGCCTAAATGATACTCAAATCTCAAGGTTTTTAAAATGCTACTCTCCTCCTGACTGCAAAACTAGGAAAGAACCTAAAGATCTTTTCTTTTGCACGAGTGTTGGCACAGAGTCTATTATATAGCATTTATAAGTTGTTTTTTTTTTTTAGTAGTTACGTGGCAGCTCTTGCAGACATCAAGTGAGCGTGGGGCTCAGATTTCCCAGTTTCCCGCACGGACACACAGGACAAGGAACGCAGGATGCCCGAGCGGGACGGGCAGGGCGACCTCACCCACGGGTGGTGACATTGCCGAATACGCGGTGTGGCAGCGGCCAGGCGCGGGGGGCACAGCCCTGCTGTGGAACTGCCGGGAGCGAGCCGCCCGGCCACTGAGGGTGCTGGCATTAGGGGACTGCTACCCAGCAGAGGACGGAAGGGAGCTGCGGCTTCAGGCGCCCCGCGGCTGCGGTCTGACACTGACTCAGCCACTGCTGGGCACAGGGCAATCCCTGGGGGCCAGCCCTTCACATATTAAACATGTACCTTTGTCCCTGTAAGGAGAAGTTCGAAGCGAGGGAGGCGGGCAGCTGAGCCGGGGCAGGGGCGCTGCGGCCTCCTCCGCGCGCTATCGCTGGGCTGAGGGGAGCAGCGCAGCCGAGGCCGTCCCACCTCCCACCTCCCACCTCCCACCGGCCCCTCCCACCGCCGCCGCGGCCCCGCCCCCCGTTGCCCAGCCCCGCCCTCATTGGCTGCCGGCTCTGCCCACCAGGAAGCCCCGCCCCCTCCCACAACCTGACGTTCGCTTCTCGCCCCCCGAGTGGACGGCGTGGCCTGTCAATCACCCGCCCTCGGAACGCGCGGCGCGTCCCGCTCGCCCGGGCGCCTGTGCCGCGGTGGGAAGGGGCGGGCGCTCGGGGCTGCCGCCGCTTCCCCTTCGCCTCGGGGCGCCGCCCCGGCCGGCCCCGCTTCGGAGCCCCGCGCCAGGGGCGGGGCGGGTCGGGTCGGGAAGCAGTGCCCGGAGGTGAAGGGCTGAACGCCGAGCCTGTGTCCCGGTCCCCTGGGCTCCCCGGTAGGTTGCTGTCCCCGGCCGCCTCTCGGAGCGGTGGCGGTTGCAGCGGTCGCAGCCGCCCCGTGGGCCGAGGCCTTGGGCTGGCTCTCTCCTCCTTTCCCTGGCGGCCGCGGGACTGGCGGGGGCCGCGGAGCCCCCTGCGAGCGCGGCGGCGGCCAGGGCGGCCGGCCGGGCCGAGCAGCGAGAGCCGGCGCCCGTGCGGGGCCGTGCCCCGGGCGGGTGTGGGGCGCCGGCGGTGCCGGAGGGGCTCGGCCGGCGCGGGAGGGCCCGCGCCTCGCTGAGGCTGCGCTCCCGGGTGGCAAAAGCCGTCGCTGTGAGACCTCCGAGTTCCCTCTCCTGCAGGAGGTGCTTGCGGCCGTGGGGCTCCCTGTGTGGCGGCCAGTGTCGGTGCTGCTGCTGCTGGTTGTTCCGAGCAAGCACCAAGCTGGGTTTGTAGGAACAAGTAAATTTGTTTTCCTGGTCTGTAGAAGCAGGTTGTTGGAGTGCGATTGTGCTCGTTTAGCAGATTAGCAGGTTAGAGGCAAACTGGGCTGCCAGTGCTCTTTTATTCTTACCTTTTATTTTGCTCTTCAGGAAGTTATTTATAGGCGCGATCTGAATGTAGTGGTTTTAAGTTTGATTAATTAGAATCTCTAAAAGTGGTGTTTCAGTGACCGTGGAGCTCGGACAGACCTTATTTTCAGGCATTCTTGTTCATTTTACTGGTACAGCCTTAATGAGTGTTGAAGTGACATGCGATGTGTAAGAAACAAATTGCAATATAATCGAAGACTTTTTTTCCTTGCTGAATTTTATAGTTAAGATAATTTTTAAGTGCATACATAGTTAGAAATAGGTACTGTGCATGTGCTTAAGCATGATTATAAGCGAAGCACACTGTTAAGCATATTAAGCCTTGCTGCCTGCGTTATGATTGCTTGCAAGGATAAACAACTTACCTGCTTCTAGACTCACGCCTCTTCTTAACCCACTTATCTAGTGAATGCGTTTTATCTCGAGCTACATTGGGATGTTAAAATCCAAGATGGGAGTAATGCAATTTTGTTTTAAAGGGAAAAGATGAGATAGATGATTCTGTGCTAACTATATCGGCCTTAATATCCTTTGGTCAATTTCTTTGTAATTGAAACGTTTCAACAGTTAAACAATGTATTCAGTGGAAAAAAGGGTATTTTGTTGTGCTGGCCTGAAATGGAGAAACTACCTGGCAAACGGCAGACTATTTGCATCAGTTGAGAATGACTTTCAGCTAATTAAATAAATCTTTTTCTCTTGCCACTCTCTATCAAATAGATGTATTGGCTTATAAAATGTAAACGGTTTTCAGAATCTAAAGTACTAGTTCTGATACATCACATTTTCTGTAGAGCTTTTTTTTCTTCTGTGTGATCAAGAGAAATATATCCAAGATTAGTTAAGAGAAATAACCTGCGATAGGCCATGTCTTAACCCTTCTGAAATTGTTCTTCCCCTAAAAAAAAGTGTAACTGAACCTATGAAGGAGTTTTTCCCTTGTCCAGCCTATTTATGTACAATTAGCAAGACTGAATTGACTTACTTTTAGTGTCATTTTTTCATAATCAGGTTTTTCATAATTAATTTTTAATAACTAAATTTTCATAATTAAATTAATTAATTACTATGCATTACTAAAACTCATGCATTGTATTGAATCTTAGTGTTCCCACTGTATCCACAAAGTTTGTCCTATCAAAATAGAATTGTTCTTGGTTCACTAGTTACTGTGCTAAATGGTTCTGTGATTAGAAGTAGCAAAGTTACATGTATTTCTAATATTTTTACTCTTGTCTTGAAAATTTGTTTAAAAAAGATTAGAAAGTCTTCTGATGTGTAAGAATAACTTATTTTAGTTACGCCTTTGAGACAACAATGAATGGATCATGAGGAATAAGGAAGTGACAGTGGTTGCTTTTCTCCAATATCTTCTAATTACAAAAAAGAAATTGCTAAAGAAGGGGTAGTGATCGGCTGTATTAACTGTCTTTATCTAACTTTTCTCCAGCTGAACATTTTTTTCAGTCTATTGTAGACAAAACATATAGTTACATCTTGTTACTCAGGCTTTTCTTTTTACTTTTGAGTGATTTTTTATGAGATGTTGTACATAAAAGAAATAATGTAATTAAAACCACACACAGGAATAGCAAAGTTGTAAGGGAGTTTGACATACTGTTTCTTCACAGTTTAGGCTCACTGATTCAACTGCAAATTAATGTTTAGAGTTCTCAGTCAACGCTTAATACCTCACCTGAGGCTGTATGAACAAACTACCTGACAGTGCTTAGCGGAAGAGTGAGACAATCCTTTTCAGCTGTGGTCTGGGTTTAAATGATCTAAAACTGATATTGTGATACTTGGAAGTCATTTACTAATATAAATGGGATGGTATGTTTCCAGTGTACACTGGGCCTTTAAAACACTTTCAAAAATATTTTGAGACTTATATATAATTGATTTTCTTGATCTATTAAAAGGTAAAAAGGTAACTTTGAAGTAATTTTTGTATATTTTCTGCCAATCCTTAATTTTTTAATGCTATGCAGGCATTTTGATGCTTCCTCAGTGCTTCTGCAGAACCAATGCAATGAGATCAAGCCTGATGCTGCTCTGCTTGTTTTTTTTAAGCGTAATTCTGAGTAGCCTCCCATCATTGTCACTGGACTTCTAGAGCTTTATAAGCTACAGCTAAAACAGCTGGGTGAAGAAAAATGTGTGTTTAAGCTAAATAGTTGCTTAAATAAAAGCAGTCTAGCGAGAAGGTAGTTAAAAGCTAGGGTGATGATAACAGGGAAAGACAATGACTGGAACATCTGTCCCTCCCTGTGATCCTAGGTAAGCCACTTGCAATTTATTATTCCCTCTTTGGCATAGGGAGGATGTAGAAGAGGAGACATCACACACTGATCCATGCTGTAGAATTGGTTTGGACTGTGGTTACCTAGGGAGCTTTCTGAAACTTTACCTTTCAGAGGAGGTTATGAAACTCTTAGTTGTGTAGTATGGAATAATTTGTTATGGTGAGATTTAGCTCACCTGTTACATTTGCTTTACTGTTTCATAGATGATATATTCATTACCTTAAATTTATGAAAATGTTTCTAACAAAAGGGGGAGAGAATATTTATATATTAAATATACTTATATGTAAAATACAAATATTTGTGGTAAATATATAATATCAAATATACAGAAATTTCAGAATATTAAGAATGTGCCAGTGCATTCTCCTAGCATGTTTATTGAACTGTATGTTCCTTATCTCTTACAGAGGACATTTTAAGCATCTGCACTTCCCTCTCTTCACCACCTCCTTTATCTGATGTTTTTGACTTTGTGTAGGAAACCTTTTTAAAAACCCCATTTAGCTGTTAAAAGAAGGGTATTTAGTACAAAATAAGTATATTCTGCAGGTATGAAAAGCTAAAACAGTTATCTTGCCATTTGTCTGGTATCTTGCCTTGTGCTGTGGAGTAAGGAATGGGAGACATACTGATGAATCAGAAATGTCTTTGCCCAAATAACTGTAGGTCACAGAAGCCCATGACACACACAAGTAAGATTTGCATATTCAAGTAAGTTTATTACTTAATTTGACTTTATGTGTAACATTAATACAGCTACAACTGTTTTTTTCTATGCTTTAGGATCTTCTCTGTAAGATTACTAGCCAGCTTAGCTTTTAACATACCAGGACTTTGTAGTAAAAGTTTTACTAACTTAGTAATTTAAGGTTTTTTAATTAAGGTTTAATTACTAAGTTAAGTAAATTCAATGTCATTTTCCTAAAAATAAATTTTTTTCCTCCAGTTTCCCTGCATGGTGATTAATAGTCTTCATCAACCATGTGTTTTGATTGTGTTATTTTTGATTAGGACAGGATGGGGACTGCAACAGTGGAGGATGATGTCCTTTTCAGTAGGCCAAAAATACAAGTGTTTTATTGCAAGCAGAGCCTAGACTTCAAGTATGTGGTTTGTCTCAACTTCTTGTATTCTCTGCAGTTATTTGTTGAGTAATTTATGAGTTGCCATGCTTTTTGTTCAATAAACCCTGTGCAATAACAGAATATAGATGGAGCAGTTTCCATCAGAAGCAGAGCTGAAGGTGCTGTTGAGGTGGCCCTTTGTGTAAGGAGGTCGCTGGGGTGTGTTGTCCTTGAAGGGATGCTCTTGATGGGCTGTGAAACCCCCTTTGTTTCTGTGCTGCTGTGGAAAGGCCCTTCTCTCTAATATGGGGCATTCCCCTGCTCCACTTCTGGCTGTGCAGTCTTGTAGCTCCACTCTTGCTCTCCATCCTGTCTCTTGTATCCTCCTCTGAGTCAGTTCAGCTTCTGTTGAGTAGAGTTACTGAGTTTGTGAGCTTTGTGGTACTCTGAGTGAGTGAGTAATGGCTTCACTGAGGCATGGGAGTGCTGATGCTGGTGAGCCATGGGATCAGCAGGTAGTGTGCTACGTGCAGTAGGAGAAGTGCCATGGTACTAACACCTTACAATTGTCTAATTGCATTTTGTCATTTGCATTTTGCAGATTTCAGACTTAGGTTCTATTGAACCCATAAAATTCTTCTTTTTGGTTCAGTTTGTCTCTGAGCTTGAGATGCTAGTTACCTGGTGAATGTTGGATCTGTTACATTTTTAAAGCTTCATTGGCTGCATTTTCTGTTTTTGTAGAAAATACTTTAAAAGCATGGGTTTCTTGACAGGTTCCCTTCGTGATGTTGGAAGGTGTGATTTAGTCCAGGATAGGAGTCTATAAGAAAGTACTATTTAAAAACTGTATTATTATGTGTGGAAGAATCCTGTGAGTATCTTTTTGTATTTAAGACACCAAGCATTTTCCATTTTATGTCTTTATATTTGAATGAAGTAGTTAACATGACTGTTAACATGTTTCAACATCTTTTTAATATAATGATATAAAGCAATCTTTAAAGGCATTCAGTATTGCTTTAGAGGAATTCTGCTAGCTTATAATGAAAAACATACTTAATTTCATGTAGTATTGATATTTTTGATGTCAGCTTAAATGTAGATAATGTCTATAAAAATGCAGCTTTTTTAAAAATCTTAATTAATTGTGCAGTATTCTTGGGAAGATGAAGTAATACTGTAGAGTCTAAAGACAGGGAGACGATTGCTTTAAGGGTTGTGGGAGACATGTTTTGCTTCTAACCTCAACCACTCGTGTTTTCTTAGTTGCACCTTACAAATGCTTTCTTCTGGAAACTGAAGAAGTTCAGTATAGAATGTTTTTTACTTTCTGTGGAAGATCACTTCAGTTGGCACTCATTCATTTCTTGCAATGTTCCGTCAGCAGGTTGCTCAGTGTATCAAGCTGTTAAGGTTTCTGTGTAACATTTGCTGATAGTAGGCTGAGGCATCTTTAAATCTGGAGGCATCTTTAAATCTAAATAAAAATTATGAAACTTGAGTTTATGGTTAACAGTAAAGAAGAAGGGCAGAATTTTTCCAACAGACAAGAGGAAGACAGAATAACTAAATTTGCTCTTAAGCGTTTGTCGGAGAGAAAAATGTCTTTACAGAAATGCTTTTTGTCTTTGCTTTTAATTTTTCCAACAGTATTTTCACTATTGTTTGTTTTTATGTAAAACATTGTGAGACCTTAAAGTAAATACTGTTGATTGTACTTTGAAGTTTTTAAATTTTTCATTAAAATTAAGTCTGTTTTTTAAGGAAATTAGGTATTTTTGATCTGCGGCTCTCTCATCTGCTGCCTGTAGGAATGTGGAATTTTTAGGGTATTTTAACCAAACTTAGATTGTTATGCCTGTGAAGATAAGTTCCTATAAGCTTCATATAAACCAGTTTAGATAGTAGATATTTATTAACCATTACATGGTGAAAGAAGGATTTTATATGTTTTGTGTGGTAGTAGCTTGAGAGCTGTTCAGCTTGCAACTTGTAGTACTAGGCAAGCAACAGAACATCTCCACTGAAGAAGGGAACATTTTAATGTGGGAAGAAAGGAGGGGTTTTGTGAAGAAAGGAAGCTGAAGATGTGTCAGAGGGTGGCCTGCAAATGTGGTGGATATGTGGAAGATAACCAGAAAAGTGAAGTTACTACGCTGGGGCTGCGTGGGTGTTGGAACACTAATCCGTAGGCAGCTAAGTTTAGCTAACATTGATGCTTTTGAGGAATGATTCTATTTTAGTCTTCCTAAGTAGCGCAGCAAGCATTTAACTACACACAAGTGCCCACATCAACATACTGATTTTAAAATCAGTGTAGTTAAATAACTGCCATCAGACCTTGACAAAAGTGATGTCAACAGCACCAGGTTGTTTTGTTCTCAAAACTTTTAATTTACATCAGATGATTTCATATTTAGTGTCATTTGAATTTGTGTAAAACACTGGGAGACTTGTTTTTTTCCTCTGAGTTCTATAGGAAAGCATTGGTTTAAATATGTCTTGTATTACATCACTAATGATGAATCCAAGATCTTAACTGTGGCTAGTGTTTTGTCTTAATTTTTGTCACTGTGCATCTTATGCATTCAATATGAAGGTTTCAAGCATGATTCCATTTGGTGTGGTGTCTGAGATTTTATCTATACCATTTTATTCCATATTAAACTTATAACAGAAGAAAAAAACTTTATAGCCTTTTGAAGACTATAGAACTGTAGTTTCAATTTTATAGAGACATTTTAGGTATACATTGCAGTGAAAGTCATGCAAGTGAGAGGAGAGTTGCAAGTGTGTGTAGTAGTGAAATACTTGGAACTGCTGTAGAGCATACCTGTCTGGTTTATGGAGACAGTTAAGACAGCAGAATCATTTGATTGCCAGGTAGTTTGTTATTGTTAGAAATCCTTGACAGATTCATAGCTGCAAAACTTAGTCTGGAGACATTTTCCTGTACTGTGAATTATCCCTTTCCTCACATGTGGAGTTATTAAACTTGAGCTTGACTCCTGTCTTAAGTTCTTGAAGTAGAATTTGACCATGTAATTAAAGTTAAGGGACAGAGACACCAAATCTTCACAATCACTGTGGAATGCTAGAGCACATTATGTATTTTAGCCTATCCAAAATCTAACCTGAAGACAGAATTAGTGTCTTTTGGACTCTCAGAAATGTTTTGGGTTTTTTTTCCATGTAGCACCGGGGTGTTTCACAATGCTACTTAATTTTGTCTTCAGATATAGTTACGGTGTTAGATTAAATGCAATACTCTTTTTTTTTTTTTAACTTCTAGATGTGTTAACTTCACAGTTTCTCTGGCCTAGCCTTAGGCTATCTGAACCTTTCTGTTGTTCTGCTGTAATACTTGCGTGCTGTGGTACAATTATTCGTGTAGAAAATTGACACCTGTATTATGTAGTATTAGCTAGCTCAGCATTAGCTTTCTGGCAGCTGAGGACAATGTAGCCCATTTAAGTCTGTATGGTTGTGGTGGTGGAAATGTGAAGAAACAAATGATTGAAATATTGCTTAACCATCAGTTTTTTCCTTTCTGTGCTCTTTTTAGTAAATCAGCTTTAGTAGTGTCATTAGATTTTAAAAATTATTCCTTGTATTATGGCTCTCCTTTCTGAAAACTGACTTTCAGCTTTTACTCTGAAATGATGATTATAGGAAAGTGCAAGAAGGATGCCTGAGCAGAAGTTTTAACCAAATAACTGCATGCACCTGCATGGAATCTTTAAGTGAAGTTGGTAGGATTTTGTAGTGAAAGTCTACGATGAAGTGTAATTCATAGATTAGGGCCAAACTTGCCTTCTAGATCAATAAGAAAATAAAAATGTTTATGCAGTTACCAGAGATAGCCATCTCAGCTGATGTTTGTTTAGAGTTAACAGAGATGAAGAGATTGCTTGGAGATCTTAATTGCTACATAATTAGTCCCGGCTGTCATTTGTGGAAAGATTGTGTTGACTTAGGATGACCCCCAGTACTGTACCTGCCTTCTGATGTGACAGCATTTTGACCAGAGCTGGCAGCTGGTGGTGCAGAAGGATGCATTATTGTTAATTAGGTAGTAGTGACAAAATTAAGTGTAGAGAAGAGATACTGAATTTTGGATATTGGCAGCGCTCCAATGTGTTCATGTGACTTTAGACCTTGGTACAAGAAAAGTTACACTAGTTTAACTAGAATAGACTTCTTAAACAAGCTTCAGTAAGGATGAGGGAGGTTTTTGGTTAGTTCTTGTACAGGCAAGTGGTTGATTAAATGTTAGTAAAGCTGTTTCTCTGTTAGATTTTGTGCATTTAAGGAGGATTATATGTGGCCATACGTGGTTTGTTGATGTACTTTCCCTAGGGAAATGTGTATATACGTGAAAATTGAAACGCTTATTCTAGAATCTCAAATTAATTATTTTTGTTGAAAATAGTGTGTGGCGGTTTATATGGTAAGAGAAAAACTTAATTTTTTATTTAATATATATACCACTGGAGATGAAAACAAGACTTCAGAAGGCTTGGTTTTGTAAATACTTTCATAAGAAAGATACTTGGATTTACCTTGACTCTTTCAATTAGGCTGCTTCTTTCAGTGCATCTCATTTGTATGTATTTGAAGGTTGAGACTGTATGTATGTAGACTTACGTTGTTACCTAAACCCTTGTTTTATGAGGAAAATCATACATATCTGTAAGAGTAAGCAAATACTTATTTTAAAACAATTGTATTTTTAGGAATGCTGAGAGTCTAGTTTGTACACCAAAATGAATAAAATCTATTCTTGGTTTTGCAAAACTTAGCTGAGTCTAGAATTGGTTGGTATTACAGAAGGCAGACGTGGCAAAAGACTGAATGCTGTGAGAACAGTACTGTTGTCAGAGTTTCAGAAAGTGAAAATAAGAATCTGTGGAAAACTGAGACTTTTAAGTAAGAAAGAAATAGTAGTGTAGAAGGTACTTGAGATACAAGTGTCGTATTGTTGGAAGTTGTGGTAATGCAAACAAAATTTATGCCTACTTGTGATCTGTTAGTTGCTTTGCAGTGATGAAGAGCATGAATCAAAATAAGTGTTTTGAGGCCATGCACACTGAGAAATAAACTGCACAGTTGAGCTCCTGCATGATCTGTTATAAAGAGATTTCATTTGCCTTTGAAATAAGGTTATTATATTTGCTTTCTTAAATAAACACCCATGTCTTCTGAAGTGTGAAAAATTTTATGTGATCAAGAAGTAGCAATTGCTTTGTGTGTTTTCCCTCTTTGCTGATGAAACTCTAGGAAGGATTTCGAACTTACTAGTGTATTATGTACTTTTTCTCTGTGAAGGAAATGTAGCAAATGTGGGTTCTGTAGTTAAGTATTTGGAAAGGCAAACTGGCAGAGAAATGATGTGGCTGTGGTTTTTGATGGCTTGAATGTTGATCCTGCTGAAGATCTTATTTAGCTGCATTGTCACTTCTTGTATGTTTGTTATTTTATTATGTGGAGACAGCAGTCTTCCCATGTGAAGCTGAAAAAGACCATCCTTATTTCTTGCATTAGTTCACATCTACTGCAAAATACAGATTTTTTTTTTTTTTTTTTTTTTGGGGGGGGGAAAGAAGATGTTGTTTCAGAGCATTTACATATTCTTTTTACAGTGCTTTCAAGGTAATTGTTTAACTAATTGAAGTCAGAATAAGTGCCTAAGGAATGGGAGAATGAAATAGTCTTTGATGAAACAACTAACTTCTGAAAATATAAGGAGCAGATAATACCAAGCTGTATTTTGTTTTTATGTGAAAAAAAATTTTAAAAAACTGTAAAATCAGATGCCATTAGTCTTAGAATTCCCCAGGTGTATGAAGTAGATTATATTGTTTAGAGCAAAATGTGTTATTGATGAATAAGTTTTCATTGTGTTCAGGTCACATATGAAGAACACTATCTATGACTTCCAAAATGATTCAGTGATGAGCAATTTTGATACAGGTTACTGATAGCTGGAGAGAGAAATTGTGTCAGGAGAAATTTGTTTGGAAATGTTCTTTGTTTTTCAAACATCATGAATATGACATCATGAGTATGTACCGTCTGTGGAAGTTTACATACTGAATATTTCAGCACACTAATTTTGTCTTTAGTTTTGAGTGAAGTGCTAATGATTTTGCATATTGTTTCTCCTTTGGAAATCTGAAAAATGATGAAGTAATAATTTGATTACATTTGAGTTATGCAATTAATCATTAAACAACTTTTTATTTAGTTTGGAAAATATTATACAAAAAATAAAGCTATAGACATATTTATTTGTAATATAAATTATTGGAATAGCAGCTCAACTTTTGGTCATGTTAAAGTCATGTGCAAGCCTACATTGCTCTTGTTGGACTAAAGTGAAAATAATGAAATCCACTCTTCTGTCATTAAGTGTTTATTTTTCATTTTAAATAAAACAGTGGATCTAACTCAATAATATGTAATCTTAGAGATATTTTCCAATTCAAATTCTGTCTGAAAACTTTTTCAGAGTTAGAAACTGCTGTCCTAAACTTTCAAGGGATCTTCAATTATGAGCCTATTTGCTGTGGATTTGGAATTTTGTAGATTTCTCTGTTGCATAGAGACGTGTATATAAAAATGAATGAAAATAATGCAGTAATAACTAATCTAGAAAGAACAGCTTAATTTTTCCATGATGCATACAAAAATAGCAGAAACAGTTGATTAGATATTTAAGTTTTGTATTATGATTTCACAGTGAAGTTCTTGCATGGTTTCAGATTTGTAGTATGAATTTCAGATTTTCTGCTCTTAAATATTTCTAAAAGAGTTTTGTTGGATGGAATCTTGTGTTATTTTTTCTGCAGTACAGATGTATTTGTAACATGGAAATGATCTTTGGAAAGTGAACGTGACTGTTCTTCATCTCAGTTGAAGACCTGTAGTAGGTGAAGTATTCAATGAAAATTACATATAGTTAGAGAAAGTATCTTGGAAATTTGTGGCAGAGGCACTAGAAACTTTCTCTTCACTCTTCTAGAAGATGTGGGAAGAAGCTGTGTTGCTAAATTACTGTAACTGCCAAAAATCATGAGCCCTAGGGGTTAGAAGTATGTGAACAGATACTTGAGAGGTGAGAAACTGCGGAAGTATGAAAATGCCAGAAGGCTGAGTGAATTTTAAATGCCTCATGCTGAAACCAGGACTGTTTCTTTACAGTTTTTCATAAAATAATAAAATATCACATGTTAGAAGGGGCCCAGAAGAATCGTTGAAGTCCAACTCCTGGCCCTGCACAGGACACCCCAAGAGTCACCCCATGTGCCTGAGAGCGTTGACCAAACACTTCTTGAGCTCTTTCAGGCTGATGCTGTGCCCACTTTCCTGGGGAGCTGTTCCAGTGCCCAGCCACCCTCTGGGTGAAGAACTTTTCCTAATATCCAACCTAAATCTCCCCTGACACTACTTCAGGCCATTCCCTCAGGTTCTGTCACTGGCTACAGCATCTCTGTAGTTCTTCCCTTCATCAGACCTTCCTTCCAGTGGGCATACAGCTCACTTTTTTGCCTTATTTCTGAGAGAAGATTCCTGCTCAGCCAAGCTGGCCTTCTCCCTCCTCTGCTTGACTTATGACATTTTGAAACTTCTGTTCCTGTGCCCCTGGGAGGTGGCATCTAAAAATGACCAGATCTGATGGACCCTAGCACCCTCAAAACCATTTCCTCAGGCCATTTTGCTTATTCTTTTAACAGCTTGAAGTCAGTTCTTGTCATGCCTAGGACTGAAATTTTGCTGTCACTTTTTCTCCTGATAATGGTGATTTTAAACTCAATTGCTTTGTGGTCACTGTGGCCAAGGTTTCACTGTGGCCAAGTCATGACTTCATTCATGAGATCTTCCCCAACACATCAAGGAGGGCACCTTTTGTAGCTGGCTCCATTAGTTGCTGTACTGTAAGACTACCCAGATTTCGGACTGTTCTGGACCTATTTGTGCAGCTGTGTGACAAGGGCAGCTGTTTTGAAGGTGTCCCTTAGTTCCTCAGAGTAATTTTCTGGAATCATTGTCCTGGATAGGTCGCCTATAGTAGACTCCTACAATGACATCCACATTATTTTTTTGTCCCTTAATCCTTATGCAGAGATTGTCAGCCTGCTGTCTCTGGCTTCAGGCAGTATTCCAGCCCTTCCATCTCACCTGCCCTGCCTGTCCCTCCTGGAGTGCTTGTGACCATCCAACATGGCACTTCAATCAAAGGGTTAATCCCACCAGGTTTCACTTATTCCAGTGATGATTCTCATGCTGTGTGTGTTGGTGTGGAAACATTTTGGATGTGATCCGTTGTAGCTGACAGTTCCGGGACCAGTTTAAGGATCTCACTAGCACTCAGTTCCTTGAGTTTTGGCATATCATCCCATTGCTTATCACTGTCAAACCTGTTTATGTCCTTTTGCTTCTTCCAATGTAACTTAAAGCTCTATCAACTTTTTATTTTCCTCTGTAGCTCTTTTGCTGCTGTATGCTTTTCTTAAAAGTAGAGCAAAATGTTAGTATACTGATACTAGCAGTGATGTATGATCTTGTAATTACAATGTGAAGGGTACTGCTTGTGTTACCTGAGGGAGCAGTTATGGTTGCACGTTTCATTTAAGTTTGTCATTCCTGGGCAGTGGAATGTTCTATTTATCTACTTTAATGTTCTCTTAGTTAGTTAGTTTAGGAGTAAATCTGGAACATGAAAAAGGAATGAGGTAGATAGTAAGTTTGATTTTTTTAAAGGTGACTTGCACACTTGAGTATGAACATTGTCATGACAACACTTTGTAACATGTAAGCTTGCATATAATTACAGTGGTGTTCCTGCTGTTGCTGCAGGAACAGGCATTTGAGAAATGTATGAATAAAGAAGATGCTTAAATGAGCTGTTCTTTTATTCCGCCTTATTTAGTGTCCTAGAGAGTCATTGTTGCTACAGAATAGGGGTCTTATGTGGCATATACTCTTCAGTAGTGTTAATTGGGACATTTTCAAGCAGAGTTTTAGAGAGATGTGTAGATTTATAGCTCTAATCTAGGGATACTTCTGGAAGTGTTAGGTGTGCGAGTTGTGAGTCAATTGAAACCCTGTTGTCATTTTTCTTACTTTTCTTCACTGTACCTCTCCTTACTTTTCACGCAGTCTCTCTACAGGGCTTGGAAAAGTCTATCAGATTACACCAAAAAAAATGAAACCTCTGCTAGCTGTTGTTAGTTGTGCATGTCAGTTACTCTGAAGTTACTTGCTTTCTTCCAGTCTTGTTTTATTTTTTGTCTTCAGTCAATACAGATTACAGATTTAATTTATAATTGAGATCTAATTACTTTTTCTTCTATGTAATACCATTTTGACTTTTTTTATAGCTTCTTTTGCCTTTCTCTTCAGACTTGAACATAGCAATTTCACTCCTTTGATATTGCTTTGTCAACTTGGCTTTGATGGTGTTTGCCATTGTCCTGATATTTAGTCCTGTATCTTTTTGAACTAAGAACAATTATTTAAATCCTAACAATATTCCCTAATGTTGGGCTGAAGTTTATGGTTTAAATGCGCTCATTTATGTAGGCAGAAATGAAAAAAAAGAAAATTAAACAGAAAATCAAGCTGTGAAATGAGGATGGCATGTTTTTCACAGATTGCCTATAACTATCATACCACGAGAAAGTGATTTTGCAAATAATTTACAATGCTTATACTGTATGTATTCCTTTTGTGCTTCAGATGATGCACACCTTTGAATGATGTCTGTCTTCTGAGCCTTAAAAATTGCGTTGAGTCTTTGAGACAAATCTGCTGCATCTTCCTTAACAGTCAAAAAAACCTGTACTTTCATTCTGTATCAGAATTTTTTATATGATAAGTAATTGCAAATACTATATAAATAGTCTTTGCCTTTTGGTGCTTTTCCTCTAGAATGTGAGCATTACAGTGAAGAGAAGATACTGCCATCAAGATTATAACACTGTCATAGGTAAGTAAAATAGAAATAAATATAACCATGAAAAGGTTTTTTATTTTTAAGGTAAATATATCATAAAATATTGCACAGGAACTTCAAAATGAAGAAAGTCATAAGCACTGTCCTTATTTTGAGTTAGTTGCAGATTATTTTATTAGGAAAATGTAAGAGAACACCTGTGTCCTGGAGAAACTGTGACAAGGAATACTTCCATGTCTTCCTTTAGATATGTAGTGTGGGAAAAATGTGAGGGACTTGTGTTGGTTATTTAGCAAATATCTTATAAAAAGGTACGAGTTTCAGTTTATATAAGAAAGCTTACCTGTAATATAAGTGGAGTATCTGTTGGTTCAACAGGAGGAAAGGGGAGGACATAAGTTACTGTGTAATAGATTTGTCCATATAGTAGACACATTTCTGGAAATCAAAATTGATGTTGTTTGTCATGTATTTGGTACTCTAAAAATTCTAGGATTGTTTATTGTTAGTTCTTCCTGAAAAAGCCAATAAAATATGGAAGTCTTCTTTTCTTTGGTACCTAAAACATCGAGTTGCATTCTTTTGCATCAAACATGCTGACCTGCATTCTAAGAAATGAATGGTGACTTTGAAGTTCTACTTCAACACACTTAATGTCTAGCTTCCTTATTTCTTCCTTTTCTTCCACTATGCCTTTGCAGCATAGTGGGTGAGGGAAAATTACCTATTACTTCCATCGAGCCAGTTCCTTTGAGATCTGTGATTTAGAAGGTGCCTTTAGGGTATCTGAAAACCTGCAAGATTATGTAGTATGTCCCCTTTTCTCTTAAATGCTTCTATCTGTACCATAAAAAACCACAAGTTGCATTACTCACTGCTGAAGTCCTTTTCCCTGGCATTAAGCAAGTCATCTTGGATTGTAATCTGCATTTGAGTTTTTTGATTGTTCTCAGAACAAGCCTTTCATTCCCCCTTTCACAGTATTGTGGTCATATTTCTTTGCCAGACAAATTTCCATGTACTTCCTTGTTCAGGTAATATGTTAGTCAGCTGTTGATTAATGATTTTTAAATGTCATCTAGTTATAACCATGCTATAACTATGTATGATTTAGCAGATTCAACTATTCAGGTGACTGTTCATATTATTTGGTATATTTTTCACTACTACCTCTTTGATTTTTCAAATTTTGTGGTAAGCTGTGATATGAGTAATAATTTTACTTTGTGAGAAATTGGTTTACAAAATAAAAGTGTCTTCAGCTCAAAGTATTAAAAATAAGCTCCTGGTCACTGCCTTTAAAATAGGCTGTAGCACATGAAATACATTTTTCCAGAGGATGTTCTCCATTACTTCAGTGTATTCCCAACATTGAAGCAAATGTAGGAAAAGAATTTTGGACAGACATTTAACTCATTGTGGAATTTTGCTGGTGTAGAAACTTCTGAATTATGGGGTTTTACGCCACTGTCATCAAATAGAAAACAATATCCATTGTTCTTATAGCCGAGATTTAAAAACAAAAGCCTTCTTGTAATTCTTTATTACAGTAGTAAGATAGCATTGTTTTTGCTGAAATCCATGTGGGAATTTGTGTCTAGGCAATGATGCTAAACAAGGGAGAAGGGGAGCAGGGAAACAGATTTATTACAGAAGTATAGTAGAGGAGAATAAGTAAATATAGTTTAGTTTCAGATTCTAGGAGTTACTGAAAGAACTTGAGTGTCCTTGCCATGAGTTTATAATTTGAGCATTTCAGAAATTACAGTTCAGAAAATACAATATATTTCTATAACTTCAATAACTTTGCAGCTTGAGCATTTGCTTAAAATAGCAGATACTTTTTGAGGGAAATAAATAAAATGCTTTCATTTGAAGAACTGGCTAAGATGAAGTGAGTGTGTCCAAGCATCAATTTTAAGTGTGTTTATTCAGGAAAAAGTTTTATAGGGCTTTTTTGTTGCTTTTTAAAAAATAACTATTGCTTGAAGTGTTGAAATTTTTGTATACTTCAGTCACTACAATAACACTTGCTGTTATATATTAGAAATAGAATTAACCCTTAAGTAGTGCTTTTCATAGATCTGTAAAGCAAATATAATTAGTTAAAGCTTAATTTTGTGTCTAGTTGAAGGGAAAGATAATTTTGTACAAGAATCTTACTGTGTTGAATAACTTTGTTTTTCTTTTAACAGAATTCCTCTAAAGACTAGGAAATTTTGCTGGTGTTGTGTGTTCTGGAAATACATTTTACTACAGATAACACCAAGGCTTTGCAAACAGAATGAACATGCTGCTGTTGACTGCTTACCCACAGTAACCAGCTGGGCAGTTCACTCATGATGTTTTCATTCTCACCTTGTCCAATTGGAATTTCCTTATACTGATTTTTAAAAAGAGGAATAAATCAAAGTGGAGTACCGTAAACTCGACATGGAAAATAAAAAGAAAGACAAAGACAAACCAGATGAAAGAATGGCACGGCCTAGTGGGAGATCAGGCCATAATCCACGTGGAACTGGTTCTTCAAATTCTGGAGTGTTAATGGTTGGCCCTAACTTCAGAGTTGGTAAAAAAATTGGATGCGGTAATTTTGGAGAACTACGGTTAGGTAAGATCCTTGTTTATTTATTTCAGTTTACATTGTTCAAGGCCATTTTTATATAGTCTAGGCAAGAAAATTTCGCTATGAATACCGTGCAGCGCTTCAAACTGCCTTAAAGCTTCAGATGTGCAAGGCATATTCAGCCCATCTTTTGTGGTTTTACCTCAGCCGGTGCAAGCTTATCCTGGATAGCTGGATACTTCCTGTGAGTAAAATGTTTTCTAGCTATGTGCAGTGCTCTCCTAAATTCAGTCACTTTTCTCTTCCAAGATGTGGAAGTTACATCATGCTTATTGTAGCAGTCTTTTCTGACTTTCCGAAGAACTTTATTGAGGTATATTTAGGGCTAAATGTATGGGACACATCCCCGTCTTGTAGGTCTGGCCAATCTCTTGGAGATGCTGTAACCAGGTACTGCAGAATTTTTAATACTGGTGAGCAAGGAAATTCCTTGGTTTCTTTTTTAATGTAGTGAGGTTAAACATTTGAGTTGCTATTAAACAGGACAGTGAGAATCCATCTGTAGGGAAAATTTGGGACCTATAGAGTTTTGGAGAATTTAAGCAGCAAAGCTGGAAATGCTAGCATTTATTAATAGACATGATGGGTGTGTTCTTTTGGAAGACTATGTGTTTAGCTTTGGGGACTTGTTTTTCCAAGATGGACAGCATGATTAGCTAGGGTTTTCAAGATATGTAAGTTCAACTATGTTTTAATAAATACAGTTTGACACTTAATGGCAAGAATTTACTCTAGTATTGTTAGAAGGCTTGAGTTAAAGTGCTTCATGCATAAAATAGAGGTGGGTCTCACAGTGAGATATTTGAGAGGATGGTGGGCTATATGAGTGATGTTTCTGTTGACCAGTGCCTATGGTAGAAGTAATACTCATTGCCCTATTTGTGATACAGTGTTTGCGTAATATAATATGTTTTTAATACAGTGTGTTCTGGGGGCTGTCAGGATGTAAACAAGTTTGGCAAATTAATACTGTAGAGGAATTTAAGACCATATTGGTGCAGTTCTGACTTAGGACACTGAATTTTGCAGTCTCATTAATAGATACTCTTGTTACTACTATTAATAGTTACACAAAATTGATACATTTTGACATTTACAGTGTTGCATACCTGACTTTGCAGTCCACAAATCAAGCTGAAAAATTGCTCTTCCTCACTTGCGCTAAACTTTTGCATACTGCCTTCAAATCTTAATTTTTGTTTCAAACCTCTCAATGAACTTAATCAAACCAGCAAGATAATTTTACATAAAGGCAACTGCAAACTAGTAAAGGTGATTTTTTGTCCGTCTGTTTATTTGATCACAAAGTACAGAGCTGATTAAGGATTAATATCTGATTAACTTACTTGCAGCTGTTACAGTGAAACAATGTATTTTATTTTAAATACAATATTAAACTAGTTAAGACTTACAGTTTGATAGTACTGAAATAAAATAGAGCAAGTAAGTAAAAGGAATAGGAGGGAGATTATGGGACATTGTACTGTCCTGCAACAGTCACCAGGATGAGTGCAGCCTTTCTGATTTTAATATCGGTGGGTTTTGCTTATATTCTAGATATTTCAAATTCCTATTTTTTGTTTTTTTTGTGAGGAAGATGTTTTAAATGTAAGTTAGTGAAAGCAAGAGTTAACATTGTTATTATAGATTCTGATTTAATTTTTTTATTTTTTCATTTGCTTTGCTACAGTATCAAGTATTTAGTGTGCACCCTTTCTACAAAGGTGTACACAAGTGCTTAGTTTTTTATATGCATGTCTACAAATGGAATATATTTTAAGCATTTGTCCTAAGGAACTTAAAGGAGGCTTGGAGTTGTAGAGTGATGAATTGGTGTGCAGAAGATAAAAATTCCGTTATATATCAGGAGCCCTTGTTCTTCCATCTGAGAAGAAATTGGAGGTCACGCTTCAGTAGTGGCTTGTGGATCAAATGGGAAGTTGGCTTTCTGTAGCAAATTACAGTTTCTGATCTTCAACCATTAGCTTGCAGAGGACTAAAATGGTTCGGATATTGAGCTGTTAATTTTAAGACTCTCTGTTATAGTTAAATTAAACTGATATAGTTAAAATAAGCCAGTAAGGTAGTCAAGAGAGAACTTGTTGCTGTTGCAAGAGACACATTACTCAATACCTGTTGTGTGTTTATGGACAGATCAACAGTGGTGTTTTACATCAACAGTGGTGTCTGCTGTATTTTAAAGAGATGCTTGTCCTGACTGACCACTTGAAACTTAGTGTCCCTGCTGATGCTACTTCAGAATAAGCATGTCATTACAACTTTTGGAAATCAGTATCCAGTTACTTAACTGTAACTGGGTTTGTTACTTACTCAGAGTAGGTGATGTAGGTACCTAAGAGCTGGAGTAAGCAGGGCTACTGCTTCTTATAGATTCTAATACCATGCAAAAACACAGAAACAACTGCAAAGTACACTTCTTACCAAAAATGTAACTGATAGGGTCATCCAATAAGAAGTACGTAGGATGCCTGGATATCCACTGTAGTTCCTACATAGGGGACTATGACCCCCTTTATAGCATACTGATCATATTAATTATGTGTTTGTTGTTGTGAAGCCCTCAGGTTATTTGTTTTTTTGGGTGAAGTTTGATCCAATAAGAGATGTAAGCTTTTAATGCATCTTCTTTCAGCTTTACAGACGTACTCTATTTTTTGAAAGACTCATTAGCACTTCATAGAATTTGACTATTGGTGTAACTCACTTGGTCAAAGCATGGTCGTGGGTTCAGTCCCTCTGTGGGGCATTTTCTTAAAAGTTGGACTCAGCGGTCCTTGTAGGTCCCTTCCAAATCAGAATATTCTGTGATTCTGTGTAACTTTATTCACAGGGAACTTTTTAGACTTGGTCCTCATGTTTTCCCCATATGATTTCTTTAACAAAACTGAGATCAACATAGGAAATTCAGACCTGAGTAATACTACAGAGAAAAAAGGAGAATTATCATTAAGAATAATATACACTAACTGCATTTGGAAATTGTAAAGAAATAACAAGTGCTGGAAGTGACAACTTAATCTATCCTTTATCTGCTATTTTTAAATTTTACACCTATAAAAACTTGCTTAACATTTTAGTCATTGCATACAGTTTGAAATGAAACTTATTGAAAAGATCTTACACAGTTGTAGAATCTCTTTTAAAGCAGCAGATACATTTCCTAAATGGCATAATCCCATTTAGGAAATGGTCAGGAATGTTGTTGTCCTGTCCTAAGTTTTAGCTTAGTAAAATATATAATTGAGGAAAAAAACAGTCATCAATTAATTAACGAGTTAATTCTAGTTTTAATTAGTGGCTGATGTTTCAAAACTGCATGGTAATTAAAAAATAAATTTAAAATAGTTTTCAGCAATAATTATGAAATAGCACATTCTGGTTATTGTGATTTACCAATTTTCAAGCTTTTTTAGTACAAAAAAATCACAAACTTGGTGCAATATCTGCAACTCTGTGACATTTCCACCTCTTACAGTATTCAAGGAAAAAATCTTTTTAAATTAAGGTATTGGATTAATAAACCCACATTTCCTAAGTCACTGCCAGAACACTAGCACCTTAGATGAAAGATAGTTTGAAGACTTTCTTGATATTTAAATGGCATTTACTTGAACAGAAAAGCCAGTGTCTCACATTTTTGTTTTTATTCTTTTTTCAAGGAAAAAATTTGTACACAAATGACTATGTGGCAATTAAGCTGGTAAGTTAATATTTTTTTAAAGGTTTTGGGATGAGAAACTAATCAGATTCTTCCTTTCAGATGTTAATGGGTTGATTTCTTTAATTGAAACCTTTAATAGTTGTGTATGATTTCATTGAATTAGATAAAAGCAGTTAGTGATAGATGTAATTGTGTAGTTTGGCCATATCAAGTAAAAATAGTTTTTAATTGTTGCCACTGTTTTCAAGGCTAAATCTGTGTGTGCAAAGTCAGTGATGGTTTAATGCTGCTTCACAGATGTGCTCTATGGCAGTTATCTTAGTAGATTCCTTTGTTGTCCAACAAGTAGAGGAGCAACAAGTTTATTGTGAATATTAACATCAGACTACAGTGACTATAGAGAAGCTCCAGAAATTCTTGAGGCTGCATGTATTTCAATGTCCACACTCCTGCCCCCCAGTTTTTCATCTCGAACTGCTGGTATTTACACATCACTTTGTTAGACATGTTTTATTTGCAATGCTGTGTAATATGTTTACTTCTTTTGCAAACATGATACTTTTGGCTATTGTGTTAATACGTCATTGTTTGGCTTTTTCTCAATCATTGGAACTTCTTTGGTAACACCATATTTTGCTTCTGAATTTTTTCAACTTCTTGGTAAATGACTGTGTTCATAACTGAAGTATTTCATGATGAAATTCACTTGTTTACCTCTTATCATTGAAGGATTTTTAGGACTCTGGTTGGTTTCTTGTTGCTGCAGTAGCAAAGAACTTCTTATGTAGCATAGTATGGTTTCATAAAGTGAAAGGTAAACTGTGGGAGCAGAAATGCATAGCTTTAGATAAGAAATCTGAAAAGCATTACAAACATAATAAACAAGCATACATTATTACAAGCATAATAAACTCCTGAAAAATACTGGTTAACACTCTTCTTGCTTTGGGAAATACTTTGGGAGTAGTAGAAGTTTTGAAAACATGCAAATTATGGCTTGAGAGAGCCACATTGGATACAGTTTTGAGGGTTATTGTGTGTTAAATCAGATTTACACTCATTTTGTTTCAACATATCTTGAACTTACTCTGTATGTCTGGTGAAAGCTGAAAATTGCCTACTTAAAGGCTGTCTACTACAAAGCACCTTTAGAAATACATTGCAAGGTAGTGGGGTTTTTTTAAGCACTAATTACTTGATAATGTAGAGCAAGACAATTTTTTTATCTGATTGGTTTTGATAAAAGGTTTTTTATGACATATACAGCTTAGTAAGCTTGGCTGCCATTTCAGCCCATTTCAGCTGTCACAGGTGATACTTGTTGTTGGCAACATTCACTTTTTTGATTTCCAAATATCTCAATGTTAGAGCTGCTTGTTCCCAGATGAGTAAAAAGCTTGGAGCAACTTTATTGAGTAACTTAGTTTGAAGTCACTTAAGAACCAATACAGTTAAGTATATATGTAATTTACTACTAGTGCTGAAAGAACTCTGAATATGTAGTGGACTTTTCCATTTTTCCTCTTACATTTCTTGTTCTTCTCCTATTTGAGACAGTGCCAGTACTTTTTTCTAACAGTTATAGATACAGTGGCAGATAATCCTTTTCCTTTTTAAATGTAAGCTTTTGTTTACTCTAGCGCTTGTACTTTTGTGCTTTCAGATCAGTCATTTTCCTATGCTTAACCCTTGTTTTGTTATTGTAAATGAGACACTCTTAAGTTCCTCACTGTTTTGCACCTGTTGTAGTTCAGGTTTAGCCTTCCTGAATGGGGTTACTTGAATTAAGTTTCTGTTGCAGTCTAAGCAGTTACCCTTGGCAGGTGTGGTTTGTGGTTGCTGTAATCTCTGCTGCAGTATCCTAAAACTGTATTTGCATTCCTCACGGTAGCATTCCAGTTTTCACCTACTGTTGTCTTAGGTGCAGCAAGACATCTCCTATGCCAGATGTTTTGTATATCTATGGTAAGCATATATTCTAGTGCAGAAGGACTGTGTGGGTTTCTCTCAAGTGCAATGAATATGGCTCTGTTTATACAGCAGCTTTCAGGAGTGCTTGTGTTGTTAAAAATAAGTGTATTGTACAAGTGCTCTTTTGACTCAAACTTTTAAATGGTTTTGAATTAATATTTCCCTTGTGGACAAAATTATACAAGCATTTTCTTGTTATGGTGCTTAGGGTAGCTTCAGGACTTGTGTAAAAAAATAGCTTAAACAGGTTTTCTATGTGAGGTCTGAGAGTTGTACAGCTATGTGCATTTTAAAATATGATGTTTATAAGTAAATGCATATTTAATTTGGTAGAACAGCTGCAGTTCCAGAATCTTCCTCTTCATCTGTCTTAATTCATTACTGTCTGTTCTGGTTGGGCACATACTCCAGTTTGAGAGGTCAGAATAGACTTTTTTAAGAACTATAATGAAACTCTTGAGAGCTGGGCTTTCAGTGCTGCGTAGGGGTGTTAGTATGTTTCTGCTCATCTTCTAGTATACAAACTGATTTCTTGTGATCAGGTGGTTCTTTAGCAATAGCTGTTTGGTGTGTAAAAGCTCTACCTTTCCTGCTCACCTCTTCTTATTGTTAGATTTACTATTTTTATTACATGACCATGTACTTGACTTGAACCTCCTATTCACTATTCAGCTTTTTCTTCTCCTTCATTATTTTTCCCTTTCCCTTTGACATACTTCTCTGCTGCTCAAACTTACCTCCTCTGCAGATGCTTAACCACTACCAAAAAACTAGCTAAAGAAATTTTTGCTTGAGCATGTCATGACCCATCAGTAAGGGGCCATGATGTTCACTATAAATTCTCATCAAGATTCAACAAAGACCCTGGACATGCTTTAGGGAGCTCTTGTGCTTTTTTGTGTGACCACCTTGTGTCCAGCAACCAGCTCACTATTTATCCTTAAAAGGTGTTTGTTAACAAGCCCTTACATTTGAAGGCTTTCACAAATGCTGGGTAGCAGGCCTGTGATTTTTACGGCACACTTTAATGAACTCTCAGCTCCCTCAACACACTACTTAAAGGTGCTGGCTCACAAACAACAGCATTTCTGCAACTCACCACTCCCACAATAAACTTCAGTACAGAGTATGGAATAGAAAATGATAGCTGTACTTTGCCCAGACAGAATGAGGGAGAAGAGAAATAAAAGCGGAAAAGGAAGAGAGCAAAAGAATATTATCAGTCCTTAGATCCTGCCTTGGTCTCACTTGTGTGGCTGGTCCAGAGCTGGGAGTAGTGACACAGTGAAAGAGAAGAAAAAGAGAGCAGGGGAGCCCAGTCTGCTTCCTTTCATAGATAACCTGGTGCAGCCTCTTATGGGAATGTGATTTTTTGTGCTCTTTTGTTCTCCTCCAGGGAATGAGTGCAGGGTGGGGAAGTGAGCACAAATCTCCATCCAGGTGGAGCAGGGAGTTGGCTCAGCACTGTGCTGCCTCACCTCAGTGAGACCCTGTCTTCCAATCACAGCTTTCCTGCGAAAACAGTCAGAATGTTTGAGACAAAACATGCTTATGCAAGGTCCTCCTCACCACCCAGTGGCTCAAACATTCCTTATTATTGGTTGGGCATACAGCTCATCTTTGACTATGGTGATCTTTATAGATTGGACGCAGGGCTAGAAGAGGGAGGAAGCAGAAGACAGTACGCAGCTAATCAAAGTTGCAAAAAAGTTGTAAAATGTTGTGCTCATCATTAAAACCAGAAATCCCACCAATATTACAGTTCCCATTTGTGTCAAACACTTTCCCCACCCCATGCTTTAAAACCAAAAGAAATCTGGTGTCCAGGGCTTGATTCATTGAACAAGTTCTTTGGTTGCAGTGTTTGGAATTGTTCAGCAATCTGGTCAGCAGCATCGTTCATCTTTGCTCAGGCCTCTTCAGTTAAAGTTGTAGCATTGTGGATGGTGACAGAGCACTCCTCTTTGGTGAGGCTGAGCATCCCATGTAATGTTTGTTCAATAATGGGTATGCTGATGGTGCATCTGTCTCCGAGGGGTTGTCAAATTGAACATTGATAGGACACAGGGAAGAAATTCAGACACCTCATTTCCATCCAGCGCGGTATTCTAGTGTTAGGAATAAGATTTTTCATCTGAACTCCTCCAAGCCAATCCCAAAGGGGCTCTCTATTTATTTCGTCATTCTTCAATTATAATTGTCAGTAAGATTTAGGATAGTTATTTGTGGCTCTGTGGCAAGCTAATTCCTGCCATCAGGTACTAACCTGAAAAATGTAGAGGATGTTGGTCCTATTATAATTTTAGCAAGTACAAGTATGTCTATTCAAAGTTCTAATACCAAGTATGAACCGTATTTCAGGGGCATTCTTCAGGGCAAGTGTTACTATACATCACAGCAGACAAACTTACAGGCAACAGAAAGAATCCTAATTTCTTCCTGAGTGAAGTAGGGCATGGCAAGGCAAAACCCTTGGCTGTGAGGCCTCCATATTCTTACAAATTCTTGTATTAGCTTCCAAGTTGAGTTGGAGTCTTATTATGGTAGTTCTTGTTTAACAAGATGAAGATAAAAGGACACATGGCTGAAACATCTTGGGTACAGTGCTAGGTACAGATTATAAAACAACAGCAATATGCTTGATGTTAACATCACTCATTGCTTTGTCGTACTTCTTGTAGGAAAGGAAAATGGAAAAATGCCTTGTTCTAAACCAGTGGTTGAAAAGAGGGTACTGTCAACTGGTGTGAGCACAGTATTCTTTATCATGGGCATTGAGAGTTATCCATAAGTAACTGCTGAAAGGCTTCTGAAGTCACTGCTCCAATAATGAAAAAAATCTGCTAAAGCTAATTGTGCTAGGCTTAAGTTTAATTGCTTAATTTAATTTGATCCATGTCCTTCCTTTTGTGAAAGATACAATTGATTCTGTTTCCCGTGGCCCATTCCTGTACCTCTGGAGCAGTAAAGTGGTTGCCATTTTCTCACTGGGTGGAATTGGGCTTGGGTAAATACCTGAACCACTTCTCTAAAACTCCGTGCTTTTGCCTGTGCCTAAACTAAAAAATTCCACCTGGATTAGTCTGAACCTCCATATTTGAGGTGGGAGTATATACAGCTTCTTCCTTCTCCTCATTTAAGTTACCCTGCTTTGATATTTTGGTTCTGATATATGGCACTATTTTGTAGCAGTTTGCTGATCCTGTCCATCATCTCTGGTTTCAGTTTTAATTAGTGGTGCAGAATCCAGATTCTACATCCTGGAATTCCTCTTGAAAGATTGTCTCATACACATGAAGCTTGAAGCTATGCTGGAAGCCTGCTAATATAACCATGTTTGACATCAAACAGCCCTTCTGCCTTCAGCCTCTTTTCCTGATTGCTCTCAGCAGCAAGCAGTTCCCTCTCCTGAGGCCTGCTCTCCCTTTCCAGGAAACCTAAACCCCTTGACCAATAGGCAGCCCACTGCATAAGGGACCAGAACTCTTAAGGACCATTTATCTGTATGCAAACCTCAGATTCTCAGTATCCCTTGACCTCCTCTTCTACAGCTTTTTTCTGCTCTACACCAACTGCTGCCTACACTTCTGTCTTTCCTATAGGCACTTCTCTGGCTTCAGCCTCTTCCACAGCTTCCTTTGTCACCATGCCCAACATTCCTCTGGTTCTCTCCTTCTCCTCATCCTCATCCCTCACTACTTTTGATTCCTTCACTTGGGTCCGTCACTCTCTGTTTATAAAAATCAAGCAGCCAAATCTTGCCTCTTCATTTCACATACTAATTCCTTATCTGAGCACTTGTGTAAGTCCTTGTACTCCCAAGGCCAACTTCTTATCCCTACTGTGGTACCCAGCACATCTCTCAGTATTTTCTCCTGCTTTGTAGCCTTGCAGAGCTCGAGGTGTAGAAGTCTCTTTCTATATTCAGCAAAGATTCCAATTTTGTTCTTTCATTTTTCTCTCTATCCAGACATCTCTGGAAGTGGTCAGCCAATCTCGTGGATGTTTTTTTAAGAGCTCAACCAAGACTTTCAAATGCTTTTGCAGCCAAATTTTGCTGTCTAAATATTTTAGTAAAAAAAAAGTCTGTCTCATCTTGCTCTCTGTATGAACATTTTTGTAAAGAAGTCAGCCAAACTTTATAGAAACGTCTTTCTGTTTTTGCTATCTATACATTTTAGTAAGGAGTCATTAATCTTTTTATCTCTCTCTGTTTCCATCAGCATGACACACAGTACTCCACGTATGAAGATGGGCTTAGGTCATACTTTCCCATAAAAAGGAAAGGGGTCCATGCTTGGAATTTCCTGAGCTGTCATGTCCTGCTCCTCCCTGTTTCTGATCCATACTGTACCCCAGTCAGAGATGGAGATATCTGAGCCCATCCCAGCTAAAAATAGTTCAAGAGTTAAGTCCCTCTCAGCCTCACAAGAGTCATGTCTGTGATGCCAATTTATTGTTAAGCCATTGGTAGGAGTGTGATGTTTGTTGTAAATTCTTACAAGTCTAAATTATGAAGCCACCAGACTACGCGCTGGGGAGCTCTTGTGCTTTATTGTACAGTTGTTATAACTCTGGAACCCCCACTATTAGACTCCAAAAGTGTTGGCTAACAACCCATTCATTTTGTACAGGAGGGGGAAAAATTTGACAGCTGTGCTTTGCCCAGGCAAAGCAAGGGATGAGAGAAATTAAGGTGGAAAAGAGAGAGGAAGAATGAAGAAGTTCAGTGTCTGTAGATTTGTGTAGTCAGTCCTGCTGCATGGATGGTCCAGAGCTGGGATAGCAAAATAAAGAAAGGGAAAGATACGGAAAAAGTCATGACGGAGGCCCAATGTGCTTCCTTTTATATTTAACCTGGTGCAGCCTCTTATGTAAACAAGACTTTTCATGCTGTTTTGTTTGCGCATCCCACAGGCAACCTTTTGAGCCTTTCTCTGGGAAATCAGTTGGGAGGGACTGAATGGGAGCAGGAAGCTGGCTCAGAACACTGCTACTCCATCTCCATGGGACCCTTTGTTTCACTCACACTTTTCTTGTCATAACAGTCAGAATATTGGAGACAAAACGTGCTTATGCTTAGTCCTCCATGGAACTGCTTCTGGAAATACATCAATTTTTCTTTGGGTGAAAGATAGGAAGTTACAGAGTAGTCATGACTGCCTTTTAAACTAATCTTTAATTCACTGACTCACTAGTCTACTCTTAAGATTTGAATTGATAAATTCAACCTAATATAAATGAGGGTTGTGCGTGGAAAGCAGGTTGCACTTTGTTTCAAGGTTGTAACATGTATTTGTGACAAAAATAATTGTAGAAAGAATTCATAATGAACTTGAAGCAGATTTCACATTTTGATAGCCCAGTTAGTTTTGCTTAGTAATCAATTTATTGGATAATAAACACTTGCTTATTTTAGGAAATTCTCGCTCACTTTTCACATGTTTGCAAAAAATACAGTGTTCAGTTATGCTGGTTGCTCTGGAGTGCAAAAAAGATACAGTCAATTCTATTTGTTTTTTGCAGAAACTGCTACATTAGTCCTTCCTTACTGTTAGGCATCTGCCTTTGGCATCCTGGCAAGATCAAATGCACAAATATACACTGTCAGGGAGTTCAGCAGCAATAGGAAACAACTAAGTCTTGGAGGGAGATGGGTTGAGGAAGAAGACTTATTTCTCATTCATGCACATTGGGTCATAGTTTTTCATGCCCTGAATGTGATACTGAGAGACAACACAGGTTTATAAACTTGTAGCTTTAAGATGATGATGTGAGGAAAAAGATGAGCACTTTGCCCAAACTTTTCCTGAAAATTGGTGTTCAGCAGTATCAGTTAGTGCTGATAACTGTATTGAGAGTTACTTGCTATGTGCTGCAGTTCCAATAGTTACGGAATTAGTTTCCAAATTATCACTGATGTGTTCGAAGATCACAGAATCAATTAGGCTGGAATAGACCTCAGAGAGCATTCAGTACGACCTCTGACTGAAGACCACCATGTCAGAATGTCACTCAGTCCCATGGCCAGTCTTTTCTTAAACATTAAACACCGCCAGGGATGGTGACTCCACCACCTCCCTGGCCAGTCCATCCAATGTCTAAGCACTGTTTCTGTGAAAAAATTCCTCCTAATGTTCAACCTAAACGTCCCCTGGTGGAGCTTAATATTAAGATCATGTTACATATCATAAGAAACATGGCATATCTTCTAAAAGATGCTCTAGGAAGTTAGTTCAAGAATCTTGTGCTAAAGAACCTTTTCTTTGCAAAGGGAGATAATCAGATAGTTTGGGTTTCCATTTAGGCTGCATGTGTATTCTTCTGCTTAATCTCATGTCACTTCATTTAGTTCTACAAGACCCTGACACACAGGCATGTTGAACACTATAATGAGATTTTATTAATTTGCATAGACCACAGACTTATTCTGGGGCTTTTTTTTTTGCTTGTTTTGGATTCATCGTTTGGAATGTAGATACTTGATTTCTGCTAAGCTGTTAGTATTTGGTGGAAGGATTTGGTCTTTTTTATTAAAATCCTAGGAGAAGCTTCTTGTAAAGATATATTTCTCAAGTAATAGATATTTGGAGTTTTTTTTCAATCTGTTAAGCTGCATATTAATGCGACTTTCTGAGAAATGTAGGACATACTATCCACATGTTTTGGAGAAACATACTATTTTTTAGGTATTCCATCATGTGTCTGTTACTTGATTTGCATGTTGGACTCTGGCCCTGTGGAGCAATACAAGATGTAAATATCCATATATGCACTACTCTAACCTGCAGGAGGTTTAGTTTTCTCTGTTTCTTAATTGCCAGTCATTTCAGAAGAAATATTCAAACTTTCTGTGTGGCTTGGAAGTAGTAGGGCTAGTTTGGCTGGTAGTAGGTTAGTGTATAGTTTTTAGGCTTTGTTTTAAATGTTGTTTTTGTTTTTAAATCAGGAGCCAATGAAGTCGAGAGCACCACAGCTACATTTGGAATACAGATTCTACAAGCAGCTAGGATCTGGAGGTAAAAAGCAGTATAATGCATTTTACTGTGATGAATCCAGGATCAATTTTTGGCTGAAGTTTTCTGGGTTTAGAGGTATAAATCTATTTAATAAAATGTTCCTTACTACTTAAAGCAGAAAAAAGCCCAAGGAGTTAGTGAATTAAATTATAGTGAATAATAATAATTATAAATTCCATTATTCTAACTTTTTTCCTACTCAATAAAGTGTCTCTATGAAGTCCTGACTTTTAAATAAATCCTACCTATCACAGCATTTGTCTGCATACAAGTATACCTTAAACTAAGACTATTCCCAGTACAACTCTTTGAAAAAAATACTGTAGGTCTCCAAACTGCTAATCTACTAATCGTGTATTTTGAATGAAAGTTGATGTGATAGCTTGAATAGCTTCAAATTCAGTTTTACTTTACTTCACTTCTACTGATTCAGTATATATTGCTGCTTACTAGTTTTAAACCTCTTAAATACCTCTAGGAGAAGTTTAAATGCAGTTTAATATTTAAATTTCTCATTTCACTCCCATTGGTGCTTTTATACCCAGAAGTACTCTTATGGTGGTGGCCTGAATGATCAAATTGTCACCTTTTGTTTTTATAGGTGAGCGATACCTAAAACTTCTCACACAATTTTGTGCCTTTCACAAAAGTGCATATAATCAGTTAGGAAGATGTAAAGTTTCTTACCCTAGTAAAGTGAGTACAGATTCTCTAAATCAGCTATAATTTAGGAAAAAGAAATCTTTTGATATCTTTTCCTTGAAATTACTCCTAGAGTAGGTCATGTAACTAACTATTTTTCCCATTTTTCTACTAATGTAGAATTTTATTTTATGAGTGGACTACGAACAGTGGTTTTCTACATGTTTATTCAGGGGCTTTTACATGTTTCTACATGTTTCTACATGTATGTTCAGGGTCTTTTTAGAAAAAGCAGCCTGGAATTTGTGCCAGTGATTTTGATTGTACTTAAGCTAGAATAAAATCCTACTTAGTGTGAAAAGTCTCTGAAAAGAAATACATAATGAACATGCCCATACCACTTTGATTTTGTTACCTTGAATGTGTGTATGTCATGATGAATTTTAATACTTTTTAATTCCTATTTTCACCTTTTTCCTTAAAATTTGGGATCATATGGCAGCTCATCTGTGCTCTGACTGGACAGTGTTTCTCTGTTAGCTCTCAAAATTTCATGCTACTCTTTTAAAGACTACTTCTGGTGAAACAAAGTTTCTAATATGTTCAGTTAATATAGACCTTTTTTTCCAGGAATTTTTAGAGATTACTTTAGGCAAAACACAACTTCTCTTGTCAATTTCTCTTCCTAGATGGAAAATAAAGTTGTAGATAGGTAATCAAAATCTTGAGTCTCTATGGTTGCTGTTTGGAGAAAGTCATCATAGTATGGTGTTTTTTTTTTTAAGTAGTTATAAATTGTCAGCATACCATACACTAACATTGTGAAATAACTGATGAGTAGACAGCTGAGATCTTAAGTGTTTAACTAATGGGGCATGACAACCCACAAGTTAGGTACATTACCTATCTGTGAATATAGAGGTGTAACTATTTAAAAGTGCAAAGGAGCTATGTAGTGGAGGTAAGAATAAAGCTGTAATTTCTAGTTCAGACTGCAGAAGTTAGGCAGTGCTTCTCAGAGGTAGGAACCATTACAGGAGAATTTACTGGGAAAATGTTTTAGTGAGTGTAACTATGTTTACTTTTTTATTTAGTGAATAAGACTGGGAACTGTGTTTAGTGTAAAAACATAGTGAAGTCACAGTTATCCTTCTTTACTTCAGATATCATTCAATTTTCTTAATCCTATTTGCTGGTTGCAACAAATTTTATCTTTTTCTCTGATATCTGGTTGAAGTACTGAAAGGGAGAGTCGCCTCTCTGATTCTTTGCATGAAGATGAGGTTACCTTTAGGGTGAAAATGCGAAGATAGAGCTGGTGGCTTACTAAGCATCATCAATATTTATGAAAAACTTTGTTGCAGACCTCCTTTGTTTTTGCAATAACCTGCTTTTATTCAAAAGTGAAAGCCTCTCCCAGCAGAGAGCCTTGAAAGCTCCTTTGTGGGCTTTTCTCAGGCTCTCCACTTGAGGCCTATTTTAAGGGGTTTTGTGACAAAGGCTCATTATGAAGAAAGTAATTTTCTTTTTCCTATCTACATAGAAGTTAAACAAAGATTGCTGATTCCTTATCTTCTGGCAGCAGTCACTTTTTCTATACTTTTAGGAGTTGGGCCCTCAAGCCGAGGAAGTTATATGGCCTGTGATTTTCAGAAAAATCTTTGTAGCATTATGTAGTTTCTGTTCTCATGCTTTTAGTTTGCCGATTTTTTGTGACGTGCATATTTACTGTGAAACATAGATTTAAGTAATTTTATCTCATGAACAGTTGAAAACATAGTTTTGGAAAGTTGATCCACTAAGTGATAAATTCAGAAAGCAAGTATGTAAACCTCCTATGTAAAACAGGAGACAGTGAGTGGAAAAAAAACTTTCACCAGGTCTATCCATGTAGATAGTATTGCTTTATGGGCAGTGGTCGTTCTTTGATCAGAGAGAGAATGGATTGAAAGAAGTGGTCTTCAGTATGCAAGTTACAGAAGAGTCTGTCATAGGAGCTATAAAAATTGCTGCCATTGCTGGAAGAAATTTGTAATACAGCAATTGTGAAGAGAGAAGGTTTCTCTGATACACAGTTATGCACCATACTAGAAGTTACAAATGTCTCAAGCTTTCCATCTTCTAAGCTTCTAAAAATCCATATTTGTAGGCTTTCTTAAAATTAAGTCATCTTTTTCTTAGCTGTTTTTGTTTATTTGCACCAACTTTTGGCCTATAGCTTTATAACTGTGTGGACTGTGTAATTTGCATTTAATTGTACTGAATTGTGCTTCCCCTTGTTATCCTCATGTTTACATGTATACTTATGTATTAATAGCAAGTGATTACTAAACTATGGTTTCAGAAGCAATCAGTGAAAAGGGAGTTGTACTCCCAGTCTTGTAAGGAGACCCAATATTTTCTATAAAAACCCCATGGTTTTCACGAATAAGAGCTACAGATTCCATAGTTTATGCTACAAATTGACTTAGTGTGAAATAATTAATTGGCATAGTGTGTAATAATCTGAAGCTTAAAGGATAAAATTCTTTTAGGCCCTGTGAAATCCTCCTTGACTTGGAGGTGGCAGGAGGAGGAGGAAGAGGCGTTAACATGTGAATGAATACTTCTAGAAGAAAATGAGGTTATTTTCTGGCAATATCATCCTGAAAGCAAGTAAAAAAAATGTTATTGTGATTACAGATTATTTTACCTTCAAATCTTTTTTAATGGAGCATCCTTGTACTTCCTCTAATCTTGTAAGCATCCTTGATGAAAAGAGGATTTTGAAATGGTTTGTTTTCTAGGTATTTCGTTATCTGCAGCCAGTATTTGTCAACTAAGTCTATTTATTTATTTTTATAATATCTCTTTTTCTTGCTTTTCTAATAACCTTGTAGCTTGGGATTTTAAAAAATATATATTTGTGTTAATCTCTCTGCTAAGTCATGTTGTTTTGTGTCTTGAATGCCATGAAAATGGAAGACATGCTTAAATTAAAAAAGGATCAGAGGGTTCTTTTGTAGTTCTGCTCACTGAGAGAACAAGGAGAAAATAGGCATGAAATATGATAGATGTGCAGTTTTTATACACAAGACTTTGGAACTGAGAGTATTAATTCTCTGTATTTAATAAAAAGTGGTTTTATCTTGTATGAATAAGAATTAACATTTCAAAACTGGATTCCTTTGGAGATGATCTGCTCAAAAAGAAGGCCTAAATGTAACTTTGCTCTTAAATATACTCTTTGAAATGCCTGTGAATGTGCAGTAACATGTAGGTGTTTGTCAGGAAAAAAAAGTGAAGAATCTTTCTTAAAGAGGAAATACTTTTAGTGCTTTTGGGCTTTTAAAAATGTTTTTAGTTTTTTAGGGAAATGGACGTCAAACTTATTAAAAACAACTTTTAAATGACTTCAAAGATGTTCCTTATTTTATAGTCTTGTCGTTATTTAGCTTTCATTTAGGTTTTATGTACTAATAGAGATTTTTATGAAAATTGCTTTCTTTTTTTCTATGATAATTTTGTAGTTTAGTAACTATGAGGGTGTTTTCCTCACGGAGTTTGAGATCATTAGTCAGTATGCAGAATTTCTAGTCAATTGAATGGGGAACATATGGATGGAATTTAGAATCTTTTTGCTTCTGATAAATTTTGTTTAATGTGTATTTTCTTAATATGCAGATATGAGATATAAGAAAACTATACTATCAGACTCCAAACAAAATGCTTGCTGAATTCTTACCTGAAATTGCGTTAAAGCTTTTGGAATTAATAGAAAACAGTTTTGTATTTTTTGATTTTTTAATTAATCTTCTATGCTCTCAGGCTTTCTTTGCATGATTAGAAGATAAGGTGTAGGTGTATTTCGTGCACCATGCTGCAATTTAAGTGACAGATAGGTATGGTTCAGTTTCCTTTTGCAGAAAGGAGTCTGTAAATGAAAGAAGTTATGTGTTGCATGTTGAAGAGCATAAAAACGGTTTAGCTTTCATTGTCTGATTTTTCTAACCTCTCTTAATAGATTGGTCATTATCATAATGACTGGGAGCTTTTGCAAGTGCCTGAGAACTCGTTTGTACTTACTTACCTGACAAGTGGAGCAAAAGAATGGCAAGCAGCTTCTGCTGCTTAAAGTGAAATTAGTAGAACTCCTGTTTGTAATGCTGTTGTTAGCACAGACTTAGAACAGTTCTTGTTTATAGCAGCGAGGGGCATTTATTATTAGATTTTATTTTTTTCATTTGAAGTAATTTTTGAGGTCACAGATCTCAAAACAGGTCACAGATCTGTTCAGCAGTGGATTAACCTACTGGTAAAACTTAAGACAAGGCAGATGCTCAGTATTGTAAATCAGGTTTTATTTTTCTTAACTTTTG